AGATGTGTATAAGAGACAAGGTGAGGGGTGTGTGAGAGGGGCGAGAGGGGCCTTAAGCTGCTCGAGAGCAAGGTGAGGGGCGTGTGAGAGGGGCGAGAGGGGCCTTAAGCTGCTCGAGAGCAAGGTGAGGGGCGTGTGAGAGGGGCGAGAGGGGTCTTAAGCTGCTCGAGAGCAAGGTGAGGGGCGTGTGAGAGGGGCGAGAGGGGCCTTAAGCTACTCGAGAGCAAGGTGAGGGGCGGGTAAAATTCTTTGTCATCAGCACCTTAACAAAATTTAGGTAACACCCAGGCTTCTGCTCAGGAGTCGCTACACTCGGTTTAGTCATTCTATGTCTGCGCTGCCACCTGATTAAAATAACCTTCTCGTCTAAATCTCTTCTCCGATATGGTGTCTTCACGGCGTAACAAGCATGTTCTTACAGTGAGAAAAATGTGTCCAGAGAATATGACGAGTGTGTCCATAGAGTAAGACAACCGTGTCCTAGGAGTATAACTGCCCTTCCATCTTGCCCCACAATCGCTTCCAACCCCCACAATATTCACTTCCTCCCCCCCGGCAGTGCTCCAGCGACCCGGTGCTGAGCGTGGAGTGGTCCCCCTTGGACGGCTCGTCGTTCGTGACGTGTGGACGAGGTAACGTGTGCTTCTGGACGCACGAGCGCGGCATGCTCGTCAAGAGACAGGGAACCTTCGAGACGAGGGGACGTCCTAAGTACGTCACCGCCCTCGCCTTCCTCAACACTGGCGACGTGCTCACTGGCGACTCTAGTGGCAACCTCGTCATCTGGTTCAGGGGTGGGTCAACAGGAATCCTATCTACTATTCTTATCTAACGTTACTATTTATCTTCTTAGGCAATAAGTTACTTCTAATGTAATTGTGAACTTGCCGGTCTTTGGTGTCAGAGCTCATATAAAAGCTCTACCTGATGATCGGGGTACGTGACAAAGGTCGTGAAGGATAAGTAAGACACATCTGTCTAGATAACATATCTTATATACATTATACATTGCGATACATTACGGTTATACATTACGATACAAAGGTATAAGCTACGGCGCCGACCGTAAGATCGGAGAACCGACTGAACCGTTACATCGCGGAGCGCTTTCCAACTACTGCGGGGGGCTTTACTTAAGGTTGCTAGCCCTTATATAGCATTCGGTTCCGCCCACAACTAAGGTATTGATCACGTGATCTATCGCGTGTCTTCCAGATGTTGACTTATGTCATCAATCTCTATTAGGTGAAGTGAATATTACGTCTCAATAACATACAATTATAATGAGACGCCAGATTGATATCGGACATTGGCAAGCTTGGACTGCCTGCAATTTGACAGTGAAATGCCATGACGGTAGTGAATTTAATTATTTCGGCCATGACGGTTGCACTCACTGCTGATGTTAGCGGAAATTTCTAGCTGGAACTTATGCTCAGCAAATGAAGTTATGTTCGGTCCGGTCAGGTTTGTTTTGGGGTAACGTGTTTTATGGTGAATGGGTTAGGCTAGATGCTGTATGACTACATTTACCTTGAGCAAGCTTAGGCGGGGACTGTGGCTTTAAGCAGTTCACTTCATAGGCAGTTCTACCCTCTAGCGATCTTACCCACGGCAAGCAATAAGACTTGAGTGTGACGTTTGGTAAGCTGGCTTCCGGCATGCATTGAGCGCTCTGATGTACCTATCACACAGGAAGCAACACGTCTACACATACGGCCAGTCTGTGTACTAATGAGCCCATTACACAGGAGGCAACACAGCGGCACACACAGTACACAAGGCACACACAGGCCCTGTGTTCTCCCTGCTGGTGCAGAACAGCGGCGCCGTCGTCAGCGCCGGNGGTCAAGGCAGGTCATAATGATCTATGTGATGGTCAAGGCAGGTCATAATGATCTATGTGATGGTCAAGGCAGGTCATAATGATCTATGTGATGGTCAAGGCGACCCACACCAGGGCCCCACCTTCCCCGCGCTAATCTCCCCGTGTCCCCGCAGGTCCCCGAGAAGTACGGGGCCCCGCGTGTGGTGACCAACGGGCGTGGGTCCCGCCTTGTCGTGGGCACAACCCGCAACTGCATCCTCACGGGGGGCTTCACCCTCCCCCTCACCCCCGTCGTCCAGGTGCGGGGGACTGGGGGTGCTTATACATTTTATATCTATATATATTTTTTTTGTACACGATTATGTACACTGAGGGGGTGAAGGAGTGGATGCTGATGTAGCATAAACGGGTAATATTTTGTACACTGTGCATTAGTACTGTTGACAGTACAATAAAATACTACTGTGCTGTATCTGGGACCTAGGGCTGTATCTGGGACCAAGGGCTGTATCTGGGACCTAGGGCTGTATCTGGGACCTAGGGCTGTATCTGGGACCAAGGTCTGTATCTGGGACCTAGGGCTGTATCTGGGACTTAGGGCTGTATCAGGAACCTAGGGCTGTATCTGGGACCTAGGGCTGTATCTGGGTTAGGGCTGTATCTGGGACCTGCACATACGAGACCTATGACTATGTAGTAATTAGGACTCTTCTATACTGCTCTGAGCTCTAGCCTCAGTAACCTGAATCATTTACCCTAATAATCTGTAGCATTTACCCCACTAACCTGCAACATTTACCCCCAAACAACTGGAAAATTTACCCCGCTAACCTGCAACATTTACTCCCTGATCTGTAGCATTTACCCCGCTGGCCTGCAGCATTTACATCACTAACCTGCAGCATTTACCCCCTACTAACTTGACAATTATGCACTTACTAAGTAGCTGTGCTTGCATCAAACTAACCTGCAGCCTTGCCCCACTAACCCACCGTGGCCCGCTGTTGCCAGTTTGGCGGTGTGCAGGAGGCGGTGCAGAGTGGGTGCTTCTCGCCGTGTGGGTCGGTGGTCGTGGTGGGTGGCGTGAGCGGCTACTGGGCGGCGATGGACGCCACCACACGCCAGCTCAGGATGGAAACTAGGGACGGCACACAGCCCATACAGGTGAGTAAAGGACGGCACACAGCCTATACAGCCAGGGATCACTCAAAGAGAGTTATTCCTCTCTTTGAGTACTACTGCCAGCTTTGGACCCCGTTCACTGTGAGCGCAGTGCGGCAATTAGCGGTCCCGCGAACTTTCACGTCCAATTTAAGCGGGATGGAGAAGCTGAATTTCTGGGGAGGCCGGAGTGCCTGGGTCTATACTCACTGCTAAGTACACGGGAGAGGTAGTATGCCATTCTGTACACATGAAAAATAATAACCGGAGTGGCACATAACTTCGATAGCGAGACATTCATGATTGAAACATACCATTACAAAAGAAGGGTAGAGGGAAACTGTGTAGGATACCCAAACTACGCAACAGATCTGCGGTTAGAATTTTAATCTCAGCTGTAATGATCCCTTTCCTTGGCCGAACCGAGGCTGTTTAACGTCTTGCTAGAGGATTTAAGAGTGGGTGAATGCAAACTTGAGAGCTTCAAGGGAAGATGACCTGTTCCTGGGCACAATCCCTGATAGTCCGCCCCTGCACCACTACCAGCGGCGAGAAGCAAGCAACAGCATCGTGCATCAGCTGTCCCAACTGAGGGCTTCAGCTGGCCCAACTGAGGGCTTCAGCTGGCCCAACTGAAGGCACCAGCTGGCCCAACTGAGGGCATCCGTTGTCCCAGCTGAAGGCACCAGCTGGCTCAACTGAAGGCAGATGCGCGGTATTTATGGACCAGACCCTCAAGACTATACCGGCCAAGACCTGCCGAGGGCTGAGCGACGGAATACTGAGGCCGCACTCCTGCGTGGCCTGGGACTATCACGTCGGGAACGCATACCGAGTACGGATAACACTCATCCTAGCCCTTTTGATCCCTTTCCTCAATACTGCTGCCAGCTTTGGACCTTCTTCAAGCCAACTGTGTGTTACTGGACATTTAACTGTATTTACATCTGTGACTCATAATAACATAATAACCATTTAACTGTAACTACAGCTGTAACTCTCAATAACATATCGTGTCGCTGGTATGGGCGGCACACGCCAAGTATGGGCGGGGGTCCCCACTAACACGCATTACCTCCTCGCAGGTGCTGAAGTTCTCCCCCGACGGTCAGTACCTGGCGGTGGGGTCGCGTGACGGCTGCATCTACGTCTACCAGGTCATGGACCACCTCACGCGCTTTGCCAGGCTCGGCAAGTGTCAGGTCAGCATTCATTTCAAATGTTACTTATAATTACTCTAAATACATTGAAAGAACTCGAACTATAGAGCTAACAAGCAGCCATAGCGCTGGAGCTTACAATTGACTCACTCTGAATCCTCACCCCGGCGCTACAAACCGTAAGATATGTCCGTAGCTTCGTAACCTGTAACCATGACAGCTACAGTGTATGACTGCAACGCTCAGTGTTATCCAGTGTCAATCTGACGTCTCATTATAATCATTATAATTGTATGTAATTGAGACGTAATATTCACTTGACCTGATAGAGATTGATGACATTAGTCAGCATCTGGAAGACACGTGATAGATCACGCGATCAAGACCTTAGTTGTGGGCTTAAGCGAATGCTATATATGGGCCAGCAACTTTAAGTATAGCCACCGCGGTAGTTGATAAGCGCTCCGCGATGTATAACGTGTCGGTTGAATTCTCCGACCTTACGGCTTATACCTCTGTATCGTAATGTATAACCACCCCGTATATAAGATATGTTATAAGACACATGTGTCTTACTTATCCTTCATGACCTTAGTCAACGAGCCCGATCCTCAGGTATAGAGCTTAATATATAAGCCCTGAAAGTGTAGCGAAGTAGGTACTATACGTTGTGCTGCCTGACTTACTGTTACGCCGTGTGACCAACTAGACTACTAGAGCGATGTTTCAATAACTACAGCTGTAACTCCCAATAATATAATTAACCCTTAACTTTAACCCTGCAAACGCTGCAGCCGCGCAGGAAACGCTTCAATTCTGCTCATGCAGCCAGCGAGGCCGTGAGCTAAACGCTGCACCTAATATATAATAACGCTGCACCTAATATATAATAACGCTGCACCAAATATATAATAACGCTGCACCTAATATATAATAACGCTGCACCTAATATATAATAACGCTGCACC